GCCCGCCACAGGCAATGGATTACCTCGTCGAGGATTTGGAGGAAGTCCACTACGAGTCGTATACTCCTTTGCCAGGATGGGAAGACGAGAAGAGCGAGGTGCCCCACGCTCAACGTGAGTCCTACTCGAACCTTGTGGACGCCGTGTCCGTTTTCCGAACCCGAGGCTTCCGGGGGGGAGGTATAATACCAATCACCTTGACGAAGCACAGAAGCAGCAGATGGTTGCTGTCCGCTGGGCGGCTCTCATGCGCGCGCATTTACATTCGGTCCTTGACTCTCGTGTGAAATACGGTTTCCACTCGGCGGATGCCGCTACAGAAGCAAAGGACGCGATCACTCGATCGTTCAGCGTCTACGTGATCGGGTCTTTAGCCACTACACAAGCGGAGCTTGACAAACGAAAAGCACTCCGAGCTCGCTTCTTGGTTCCCCAAGAAATTCAGGTGGATACGTACCGCACTCGACTTTGTGCTCAAAGAGGATGCTCTTGTGTACCATCCATGCAAAAGATTCCTGTTGTGCTCGACCCTGGCGAAACCGCTGCAGATATCGAAGAGCTATTTGAGTGATGGGTGCAGCGGCACCAGAAACATTCCTCGCTACATAATTAACAGCGGAGCCACGAGGAGGTAGACGCGCGTGCAAGATTTTAACTTCCGTTTGAGTCTGCCAAACTCAAGGCGCGTCTCCGACCTCCTTCTGATTGTCGCCCTGCGAGGTATGGGTTTATTTGTCACGCTCACGCGAGCTCTACGGTATCTCAAACGGGTGAGACTGTCATCGCAACAACTCAGGGCCATAGCTTGAGCTCGGCTCATGGCCTTTCGGCTTCCCAGAATATCGCCGAGAAACGTGGGGCATGCGACGACGCGGAAAGCCATGATCCCTCTAATCATAAGCGTCCAAGACGTCTGAAAAGCCTCTCAATCTCCCATGAGTTTTTGAAGTCGGGGCTTCTTCGCCACTTCACAAGATATTGGGTTTGACTCTGGCGACAACGTCGACCCACAAGACGTTCCACGTGACAGTGCAAACCACATTTCTTGTCGTGAAGAGTCGGCGGCGGGCGATGACGACTGTATCGATCGCCGTCCAGTGACTCGCGATGCTCTTCGAGCTCTTGAAGACGAAGTCCGTCGCGATCGGGACTCCGCTTAGCGTCATGCTGAGGTCAAATACCGCTACTCAGAAGATCTAGAGAGCTTGGAACACGATGTGCACCGACTGCCTCACGTAGAGGACTATCGCGCTCCATCGGAACGGCTTCTAGCAGCTGAGCAGCGCTTCATGCAAACGTGGATCGCTTGGCGCCGTTGGGCGGGAAGATCTTTGCACTCCGTGCTCAAATTCATTTGCTGGTTGAGCTTCTGGGTGGTCGAGCGCGTGTGGGCACCGCTCCGGCGCCAACGCTTCTGCGTTCCCTTGGAACTAACGGCTTAAACATAAAACACCGTGTGCGTGTACATCAATGTCGGAAGGTTTAGCGTATACGAAAGACCCCGCTTGGCCACAACTTTGACGGGTCCGATAAACCGTGGACGGAGCTTTGTCTTAAAGACAGAAGAGACTGCATGGGTAGGAAGATTTTTAGCATTTAATAAAACCAAGTATTCGACCTAAACGTTCTGTATCTTCTTCTATCTCTTTCGTCAGCATATTACTTGTTCATGTCTTGGCTTTCAGCCATCGCATCGCGAACGTGTCGTTAAACACTCAGTCTGATAGAAATGAAGTCATCGACTTCCTTACAAACAGTGAAAGGGTAGCCGCTCGGCCATTCCTCCCATATAAAGGACAGCGGCGTCAGCGGGAAGCAAGAACGGTCGAGCCCGTTCACTTAGACTGGCGTGTAGCTGTTAGCGGTATGCACTGCATTGTTCAGAGCAAACTCTACGAGTAAAAGCATGGCATATCAGCGCTTCAGCGTCTCAGCTTAGACGCTGCGCAGAACGTCTTCAACGACGCGACTCTCACGCTCAATTTGACCATCGGTCTACGGATGACCCGCTGTTGACATAGTCAACCTGGTGCCCAGCATCCTGACGATTTTAGACCAAAACTTCCCAGTGAAGCGTGGGTCTCTGTTTGAGACAATTGACTCCGGAAGTCCATGTTGTCCAAAGACACGATCCCCAAACAGCGCCATTGTACCGACATCGTCGATGGTGTCCGGCACCGCCGCAAGATGACCCATCTTGCTCAAACGGTCGACGAAGACCACGACACCCGTGTTGCCCGCCGAGTCCTTGACAGACCAAACACAAAGTCCATACTCATAGACTGGAATTCCGGAGGGTACCGGCAAACTGGCCAGCACCGCCACCGCATTCGGAGAGAATTTCACCCTTTGTCACGTCTTACATATGCGCAAATAGATGCTCGTCCATTTGTACAGTTTGGGCCATCAGTTGTGACAACTCACAGAGCTGAAGGTTTTCTCTCGACCGAGATGACCACTGAGTTTGGAGATAGCTAGCGCCACGAGCTGTTGCTCGGACTAGAGCATGGCAAACGTCATAGACATCTCAGCTTCCTTCACCCAGAGCAGGAAATTTCCTCCATCCTTACCCTCAAAGGTCTCAACACTCACCATGAGCGGCTTGGGTCGGGGGGGGGTCTCATGGCGTCACGGATGCAGTCGACGCCAACATCTTCTGCTCTCGGTGCTCTAGCAGAGCAAGTTCATAGCTTGTAAACGCCTTCAGGCGCGCGCTGATCGTTTCAACTCCTTGTGAAGCGAGGTGTTGCACGCCTTCAGGAGTTTTCCAAGTTCGTCCTGCATGCCCTGGGCAAATTGGAGATCTGCTTTATCCTCACAGAGGGTCAGCCGTAACGACTCAGGTGTAGATTGACTACAATTGCTATCAAATGCAGCGGGGCTACCGAAGCACTTTCGCTTAAAGGAAGCTTAGTTAAGGTCGGTGACCTTCGTTATATACTTGGAACTAGTACGAGTGTAGCAGATCGCAGTCCGCTTACTCCAAGAGTAAATACAACCTTCACCCAAGGCTAATTAGCTCTTTCGTCTACAACGTAAGCTGTATTTCTGGGTTTTATCTGCGGCAAAGCCACCTATATCTAAATCTATAGGTTTCCCTACCTATATGGCAACACCTAATTCTAATGTATAACTACTAGCTGTTCCAGCCACGTACTAACTTGTTACTTCAGGTGTAGGCACACCACTGTGTGGTCACACCATCTTGTATAATCCACACCATATTTTGCGATCACATCATCGTGTGTGACCCCGTTACAGTTAGTCAAGGTCAGAGCGCACCTGCTTAACCTTAAGCCGCTTGCAATCAATACCGATCATGTGTCGTTGGACAGAGCGATGTCATTACCACATCTTTGACCGTGAATAGTAGGATGAATTCCCTCGTCGTTAAGTTTTCTTCAAAATATCGAAAGAGCGGAGCAGCTTGACATCCAATTACTTATAAGTCCATAGATGGTCAGATATAATGCGTGAATCGCGCGGTAGCAGAGTCTCCCTGAAGCACTAATGCGGAAAGACTGTAATGTGAAGATCGATTTGCTTTCACTAATTGACTACTCGTTATTTATCACAGCCCATGCCGCCACAGACTTGACTCTATCTACATAGATGGTTCGACAATCTCTTGTGACCCGTTAAGGTCGGCACGAAGTGACTTTGATAGTGGCGAGGGACGGCTGTCGCTGAAAGTCCAATTGCTTATGATAGCGCGGCAAAGCTACAATTCGTAGCAAAATCACAATAAACAATTTTCTCTACAATTCAAGCGTCATGTGCTGAGTGTGGTAAAAAGTCAGAATGTTCAAAAGAAATGGATGCTAGAGGAACGCGAGATAAGCATGAGTATGTAGCTGGGAGAATGCTTAAATTAAGGCTCTTAAGCTAACTACACGTGCATTGTCTGTACTAAGCTGTGTCGACACTAAATCAAACCGCTTGCGGTTGTCGCAATAAAGATATTAAGTTATGAGTTGAACATTCCGATAAGACCGCGAATATATGCTTTGTTCTGACCGGGCTTGCGAAAGCCATATCACGATCCCACTCATTCGAGCCAGTCAATAGTGGGATTAACAGTAATGTCTCTACCTCCTTTGTTGTGAGCTAAATTTATTTTACACATTCGTATCCGGCATATTCAAATATTTTTGATGACATTTGTCCGTGTACGACGCTCCTAAACGTGTCAGAACTTCCACCACAACTTCACACAGCCCGAAATGTTGATCTCAACAACTTAGAAAGCTCAGCTGTGGGCCTTCCCTCTTTAGTGAGAGTCGTTCCTGCCGTTCCCATGACCTCCATAAGGTACAATAGAACCCAGTATATACCAGCAGGCAGAAGGCGGCCTACTTAAACTTGAATTTTCTCCGTGATGAGTTTGCCGTCCTCCCTCGCGTGGGAACCTGACCCTTCAAATCTCGCAGGGCAATATAAAAACTTACCAGGTCGATACTACTAGATCAATCCTGATAATACCATGTTTTGTCTGTTTATTTGAGTGTGAATAATCGGACGATTTACAAAATTAATCGGCTTTGAGCCATTATTTAAATGTCAAGTCGCGAGGCAAGCAAGAAGGCAGCCAAAGAGCTACTGGCGCTTTGCGCCAAGGAAGGCGTAAAACTTCCAACTGTGAGTACATTTTTAATGCTCGCATCGCTTCCTCACATTTTAAAACTTTTTGCCGTCAATTTTTAGGACCCCGTAAATGCCGCTGTAGAAGCAGGCACAATGATCAACGCAACGCGGGAAAATGTACGAGTCGCACAGATTGCATTCAATTAATGTCATTCTTTGGAGTGATCGATGTCGTTTGTATTGTGCCGCTACTTAGAATGAGTTTCAGCTCGACGCAGCGCTTAAGGTGCTTTGACACTGTCGTGATTACACAAATGCCATTAATATTGACAGTTGGGTATTCCAGGAGATGATAAGAAAATTTGGTGTGAAAGAGTCAGCGTCCGATACGAAAAAGAGCAAAAGAGATGTCAAGACAGAAAAGAAGATTGGCCGCAAGCGCAAAAGCACTACGGACAAGGAAATTGACGAGAGCGTTGACGAGGACGAAAAGACTGTGAAGAAACCACGCAAGAAAATTGAAGCTGCGTGCGAGGCGAATCAAGCACTGGCCGATGTCTTTGCTGAACTTTCAGGCTTTGAGTTTAAGCGCGGTGAGAGATTTAAAGGTGGTACGTGGTCTAAGGTAGCCAAAGCCATCCGCGACTGCGAGTCCGAACTCAAATGCGGCAAAGACGCGCTGAAGCTTAAAGGCGTGGGCAAGTCATCAGCTGCCATGGTCGACGAGTACATCGAAACGGGTACACTTACAAAGCTTGAGGAATATCGCGCCGGCAATATGTAATCTCGTCAATGAATTACCCACTCGTAGCGTAGAATGTACACGAAGTCAACTGGCACGACATCACGTCCCTTCCCGTCAATTGAAGACTTAATCTGAATACTTCTCCCTCCTTTTCTCATCTTTCGTAGCATCTTCCGCTGTTTGTTTCGAAATTTAAACGAGAAAGAGGTGCAGGTGGAAAAGTAAACCGCGCACCCCACTTTTCGTTCGTCGTTTCAACTGTTGATCTTTGTTTCTGATTCCTTAGAAAAGACTCATGCAACGGGGCCAAATTGCGGTGGCAAGAGTCAATACGTCGAGCAGCATTTACAATAATACCAAAGAGATTGCACACATGTCTGAGCATCGGTCGCCTCCACCTCCAACATCGTCAAGGAGCGCACCAGACGACCGCAACAATTACCAATTTCGTAATAGCGCTTTCAACAAATACCGGAAGTTTAAACAACCTTGCCTGAAGTTTGGATCCATATACGGCTGTCCTTACGGGGACAAGTGTCACTACTCGCACGAATTCCAAGCAATCTACCCTGCTTATCACGAGTATATACGTGTTCACGTTACTGGAAGGATGTATTATGACTTATTTCGTGTAACTGTAGAATATTTGGTTATTATGATCCATTTTGGTCGAACGTCTACGCCATGTCTCGACAGACGCATCAAAATTACTTGCAACGACCTATTTCACGTGTTGTTAAGAACCCCTCGTAAGTGATACTTTATTCGGGTTTCTTTGTTCAGCTATGGCTTTGCTTCCCTGCTCAGGTAGATGGCAAGCTCGCTACCTGCTGAGCTACTTACAATTGTCACCATAATAATACTCGAAATATGATAAATTACTTGTTTGTAGGATGTCCGAAAGCAAATCAGTACGGCATTCATCCTCGTCATTTTCTCCGTCGAAAGACGAACGAACAAATTCCTTTGTCAATCATTGGAATAAAGACTCTCAGCCTGAAGATATTCGTGTTCGACGTGAAAACCTTGAATTGAAGGAAGCTGTCTTCAAGCAAATCAAGTTAAAAAAATCAGACCGTTATCAACGCGAGTCAGCTGAATTAAACATTACAGACGAGCATGGATATTCCGATGACAACAATTACAATAACTTTCAAGAATCTGATGGGGAAGGTAACAAAGGTGACGCAAAACATCAGGCACAACAGACTGAGCAACCCATGAGTACCTTTCCGCGTAAGTGTGCAGCTAACGACGGAATATTAAACCCCGCTACTGGTAATTACGCAGAATGTCATCGATTTCAAGTGTTTATTCAGTCAATTGACAGATCATAAATGCGCAGGACGTGACCAACAGCAGCCTCGAATTCGATCTTATCCGTGTCAGTTCAGTTTGAACGCGTCGCAACAAGTACAGACACTGGGTCCGTCATACACCCAACACCTAGCAGAGGAACAATTTTACAGGTACTCTCCGCAATCTCTCCGGAGCATTTTTTATAATAATGGCTTATCATGGCCCCTTTCGTGCTCATACAGTAGTAACCTTAGTGGACAAGTTGAAGCATGCATCGATTCTATTGACGCTGCGCTAGTGTCGATGGAAAAACATCAACAACGGGCTATCTCCTCCATGCAAGAGTTGGTGCGGTCCCTGTGGCCTGATGCTTTCATTGAAATTTACGGATCGAGTTACACACGGCTTGCATTGCCATCAAGTGACATCGACTGTGTGCTGGTTGCGAACTCTTTAGCAGAAGAGCAGCCTCTTGTTATTTTGGAAGCACTGGCGGCTGAAGTTGAGCGCCAACCATGGACAAAATACATTGAGGTGCTTGGTAGTGCTAAAATTCCAGTTCTGAAAGTGACCTACTCACTTGAACTTACAAAGCAAGATGTGCTGCTCGATCTAACATGTGGTCATTCGGTTGGTCACACTGGACTGGGCGCTCGAGATCTTGTTTGTTCGATGTTGTTGAAGATGCCAGCTTTGCGTCCTCTGGTGCTAATTTTAAAAAGCCATCTCGTCAGCATAAGTAGGTGCAATATTTGTTGATTGTGCTGATTTAAGATTTATATCGTCTTGCATTGCAGGTTTAAATTGCGCTTTCTCGGGTGGCCTCTCATCATACGTGTTAGTGCTCCTAGTGATTCGCTTTTTGCAGGTATGGACAATTTCTCATTAGTGGTTGGAACATATTGTCATTTGTTTACTTGTCATATCAGGCGTGCGGCGATACCCACACGAGATCGTATTCGAGATATGCAGACGGGAGATTTCAAATTGGGAATCGCCGAAGAAGTTACTCGGAAAATGAATGCGTGTCAGGATTACCGGAAGAGTTCGTCCCTACTTCAAGTCTCAGGTTTTCATTGACAGTTGCCAAACCAAGGTGGTGCTACACGTTTTCCCGTGGTGGGGGCGTAACATGGCACACAAGTATCGGCAGTCTCCTAATGCTCTTTTTGGAAACATACATTACCTTTGACTACCGTCGGTTCGGAATTTCCATCGAAAACAAAGGGTGTGTTCGCTGAGTTTTTTTCATGGGATTGTTTCAAAAATCTAATGCTTGTGTACTGCTGGCTAAAATAGAGTTTTTTTTGTGCTCCCTCCAGATAAAGTAGCACCGTTGCAATGCTCGGTTGTGGTCCCGTATGTTGCAGATCCAATGAAGCCTGGACGAAGCATTTGCAACTGTTTTCGCATGCACGAGGTGCGTCGATTTTTATATTTTTTGTATGTATTCAGACAAGTAATGCACGTGAGGTCGTTAGGTAATTCAGTCGTGGCTTGCACTGTACCAAAATCTGGCTGCTGGTGTTCCAATTGCAACGTGTATCGGACAAGATGCATCTCCGTGAGGCATTGGAAAAGATGTCACTGAAGTTTATTGAGATGTCAGCAACCACTCTGTAATGGAAGTGAACGACGATGCAGTAAGTCGGCATCAAGTATTCGCGCAGCTAAGCCGTCCATGCAAGCCACGCCATTTGAGAATGTTCTCGCATAGCGCTTTTGGCATCTCAGTAATGTCGACAAAGTTGTTGATTAAATGTATGAAGGTGACTTAAGTCAACGTTTTATGGTTGAATTGCGTTTGCATGACGAGAAGACTGACTGGTATATCATTCAAATAAAAAGCAACTTAGTCAGCTTTCGTACCCTTGCAAACTTGCCTCTCTCGTTCAACAAACCAGCTAGAATTCATGATCAAAATTCTAAGGCGCGCACCCTCATGAATTCGGAAACCAGGTCATCGGTGATGGCCTCACGACGTTTTTGAAAATCGAGTGTGTACTCCGACATGACATCAATCAGCTTTTGCTTCACCTCTCCTGACATCATTCGTCCTGAGCCGTACTCGCGGCCAATGCGCTCTAGCTCTTCGTCATCCTCCAGCATAAATGACAAGTATTGGTAGGGAATGTCCGCTTCTAAATTGGCGCCGTACTTTTCGTGGTCAGCCTTGGTTTCGCCTCCTCCACTGATAGTGACCACAGGAATGTCAGACTCGTAAACATCAACGAATCACAAAGAAATGATAATGGTGAAAAGAACTTACCTGTAGGCGTATTTTTTAATTTTGTTTGCGATGTCATCCGGGGAGTCCGAAGTATAGATAGTGGTGCTAGCTTTGCTGGCGCTCATCTTGGTCGTACTACCTTGAAGTGCTGGAAAGAACTTAGAGTGCATGGAGGCAGGCTTGAGGTAGCCAATGCGAGGCGCTACATCGCGTGTCATACGGAAGTACGGATCTTGGTCAATAGCGTGGGGAATGAGACAACGCAATCCCTTACGTCCACCAAGTACAACAGGAAATGTCTCTGAGAATGAAGGCACGGCCTGGACAGCTGGGAATGCTGACTTGCCAATATTATCAGATCCAGTAAAGCCAAAAATGCCGCGCACCTGGTTATAAGTGACACATTTCTGGACTTTGAGAATCTGTGGGTACATTTCCTTGATATAATCGGTGTTGGCGAAAATAAAGGTCTTCTTGACGTCAAAGCCACATGCAATAATATCTTTAGCGTTTTCCCAGGCCATGACCTCGCTCTCTTCGATTGTCTGGTCTTTAAAGAGAAACTTTTCATCATTCGTAAGCTGAATCACGAGAGGAACATCAAAAACCTTTTGCAGCCAGGCCGTAAAAGTGAAAGGAATCAGATGACCCATGTGCAAACTACCTGATGACGGTCCGCGGCCTGTGTAGAGGAAAAACTTTTCACCTTTCTCGTAAGCGTCCAAAATCACGTCCAAGTCTCGGTGGGAGAAAAAGAACCCACGACGCAAATATCGATGGGCTCTATGGCCCGTCAGTCTCTCCATCCTTTTAATCATTTCAGGCGGAATCTTTGTGCTACCGAACTGTTCTACAAGCTTGTCATAGTCCACTCCATCTTCTGCGTCGACATCCCACGGAGTCACAACTTGACCGCTTCCAGCCACACCTGAGCGCAAAACCTGATACTGAAATTTAGACTGACGCAAGAGCAATTCAGCATCTGAGGGAACTGCTGCACTTTCGAGGGGTCTGGAACTCTCACTGGGCTTTACCGGCTTCTGATTTAGCTTGGGCTTGCTGGAATTTGTGCCCACACCAGCGGACTTTTTCGCCGCCTGCTGAGCAATCTTTTTCTCTTTCTTAATTTGACTTTTCGACTTTGTAGAAGCTTCGCCAAGCGTGGAAGTCGCGGATGATGAGGTCTCCTTTGGCTTCTTCGGTTGCTGCGAAGGTGCGTATTCGACCCCTGTCAGTGTCTTAAACTCGGCCTTGAGCGCCAGTAGCTCTTGAACTTTTGCCGCAATTTTGTCAGCATTTTTCACATCTTTCATCGACTTGAGATCGCGGATGGCGTTGCCAGTGACAACAATCTTGTCCGTTAGAGCCTGTGCATCCATCGTGGCGAATATGGTATTATATGCAGTATATTGAAAAACAAAGAATAGCGAATGGGAATTGGTCAAAAAGAGAACATTAGTGACCCTTATTGACTACATTATTTACCACTTTGCGCAGTGGTCCAGTATATAAGGGGTAAAGTACGTGATAAGTACACTAGCCCCGGCACGCAGCAAACTGAGGTGAGCTTCGCGCACAATGGATTCGAGAGAATTGGTAGAATCGCCGTAGTCTTTGATCATCTTATATTCGCCTGAAACGAGATAACATACGACGGGCACCGTTTTCTTGGCAGCAAAACTTGCTACAATATCCGTGTAAAAGAGTGAAGGTTTGACAATCACACTGTCGGCGCCCTGTTGGACATCTCGCTCAAACGCCAATGTGGCGTGGCTGACGCTACCGACTGGGTGTTGGTAGCGCTTCCGATCTCCTTGAAATGTAGACTCGACTGCGTTACGGAAAGGCGCGTACATTACCGATGCCTTTTTTGATGTGTAGGCCATGATAGAGACGTGCTCAAAACCTTTTTCGTTGTACATTTTGCGAATTTCGCCTATACGGTTGTCCATCATGTCGGACGGGCATACCATGTGCGCACCAGCATTGGCATAAGCCAGCGCAATACACATCAGGCGTTCAAGTGTGCGATTATTATCGAGAATCTGCTCTCCATCCACATCACGTAGAATGCCACAGTGACCATTGTCTGTATACTCGCACATACAAACGTCACAAGCAACCATGAGGTCAGGCAGCGCCTTACGGAGAACCTTGGTACACTTTATAACGGGCGTAGTCTCATCATCAGCCATGCACCCATGCGCATCTTTTTTATCCACGACGCCGAAGAGCATGACATTGGTCAGACCTTTGGTCATAAGCACACGGAGGTGAGTTACAAGTGAGGCGAAGTCGCCTTCAGGGCCTTGACCCCATTGTAATTCGGGCTCGAGTCCGCGAATCACCTTATCCACGCTGCGCATCGTCACGAAAAGTGGATACATTAGCTGCGACGGATGCAGATGCGGCTCGCTCCAAGCGCGCTGCGCGGGGTGGTGCAAGCTCGAATGCAGAAAGTTCATTCCGTTTTGATGAAAATGATCGAAATGCCTTTGAGCCACAATATGTAAGAAATTGTTGAAATGTGTAAAAGTTACAAAACCCACATTTTTTTGGTGCCCCTTAGCGCCATTATGTCGCTAAGTTTGACTAAAACACAAAGCTGTGCTAAAAAAAGATGCACAGATTGGAATACTACGTTTTGACAATTTGGATGGATTAAGAATCGTTATGACTCGATGATAGCTAGCACAAGAGCTGAGCGTGCTGAGCCACACTGCTCGGCTGATAAGCATGCTTATCTCTGACACATTGTGTACGGGTGAAGTTGGACAAATATGTTAGATATCTATAGCATCACGGTTTATCGTGGAGTCAAGGTTTCCATAGTACGAGGTGCACGTCACCCTGTTGCTTTTGGTAGAACTTGCTGTCAATTCAACAACGCTCGTGCATGTCCAGGTATGCCTCGTACAAGAGTCTGTGGGATATAATCAGCTCTTATGATGTCGTTTCTGCCAAGCACCTCTTCGGGGAGTGTAACGGGTTTTCACGTATCCTGGTATAAAAGGTTGAGTCATTCGATCACACAATGGTGGGGTTACACAAGATGGTGTGACAATCCGATGGTGTGCTACAACTTAAACAACAAGGCTGAAACAATCAGTAGTTATACACTAAATAGGTTCTCTATTTAATGAGGAAAACCTACAAAATACAGCTTCAATTTTGAGCGGAAGACTTTATTTGCTTTATGCTAAAGTTGTAGCTCTACTTGGAGTAC